TCTCCAGTGAATTTCCCCGCATGACATGAATGATATGACCTTCTTATTTCAGGAAATGTGATAGTGTGGTAAGAGGCAAGAGAAGGGCAAAGTCGAGAAATGGATTAATCTGTAGTCAGATGACCCCAGACTCGGTGGCCTTCATCTGTAGTTAAAGGAGTCAGGTAATAACAGACAATAGGATGATCTCTTCCTGAGATCGGAAGAAGTGTTGGCAATCAGTATAAACAATATTATGTTATAAATTAGATGTTTGGATAGTATGATTTATAAGAAGAAAAATTCCTGGTCTCTGCCCCCCCCCCCCCACTATCAACTGCATTATAGTATAAATGCTCTACTCACTCTCCTATGGCTTTATTATGGGTGATTGAATCCAAGGATGGCCAACTTTTTTACCCAGGCTAATATATTTTGCATTTCTTTTATTTCAGCTGCCAAAAATGACAGGGAAAGTGATGCTACTAACACAGTGAGTTCACTAGTATGTGTGGTTTGAAGGTTTCACATTTAAAATAAATGAGTTTGATTTTTTTAATCATTAAAAACATTATTTTTTTTATAAATGGTAAAAGTTACTATATTTTCTCTATTTGTAAAAATTACTGTACCATGGATAATTGCCATTGTGATGTTGGGTTTTGGTGGTACAATCCTGGATTATTTAGGGCGTCCCCAAAACAGGGTATGGATTCTGCTTGCTTATTCCAGTTCTATCTCAAAATGGATCTCTGAAATAAATTTAATCTTTCCATTTAGAAGGTTACAACATGGAATTGTTGGGCTGCTATATGCTGCAGGAAGGCCTTGGATGGAAACAATGTAGATTATATATCTGATTTCAGTGTGACCATATATTTTTCCATTTTAAATTCAGACCTACAGGCAAAAAGTTTCCTTCAACCTATCTTTCAAAACACACATCAAAACTATTGTCACATGTACACGTGGAAATATTTTAAGATAATGATGATAAGAAGAACTAGTACCAATCTCTGCCTATAGAACATTTTGTAAACAGCAGATATTTTACTGATTAAATAGGTCTACATGAGATAAGTTTTTACATGCTTTTGAGAAGAATCTTGGTATGAACTATTATGATCCATTGATAAGGACTCATATCTGACTTTGTGGAATATGTTCATGGGGAAAAAAGGCCTCAATGGGGTATAAAAGAAAGGAACCTAGCATAGCAATCTTTACCTAGTGTTCCAAGTCCTTGCAGGAGCTAAAAAATTCAATTTAGCAACTGCCTTTGGGAAGAGAGGACCATGAAGTGGCTAATCCTTGCACTAGTATGCCTTCACCTCAGTCAGGCTATGATCAAGTGAGTATAATATAATTATGTTATAGCTTCAATTGCCTTTAGATTCAGTTGCTCTCTTAGTAAAAAAAATGTTTCAGTTTCTCTCTCACACACAATTGTTTTCTTTCTTAAATGATTTTTAAGACTGTCTGTCTGTCTGTCTGTCTGTCTGTCTGTCTGTCTGTCTGTCTCTAATTGCTACCATGAGATATGGTGCTGTCTGTCTGCTTACCTAGCTCTAAAAAAGGAAGTCATGGGGACAGTGGACATTAGACTTGATGGCAGTATACCTGTCTTTGAAGACCATCTGGTGGGAAACTCATGGACCTCTTTGTGCAGTTGGTTGACCATTGCTGGACTAAATGAGTCAAGGGTTTGATCCAGCAGTTCTTGTTATTATGTTTATGCTCTTAAGCTCATTCCATTTCTGTATTAGACTGATGTCCTTTTCCTAAAACATTCAGAAACTTTAATGCCTTTTGGCCATAGTTTCTGGAACAAAGTATGCCTTTGCACTTTGTATGCCTTTGGGTATGCTATCTTAGTCTACAGTACTTTTATCTTATTTTTTTCATTGCATTTTTGCTGAAGAACTGCATCTCCAAATTTAGAAGGGTCTATGCTGAAGAATAACTGGATTTACTTTATGTTTTGGCTCAAAAGTAGACAATTAGGTAGAATTTTCTTAGGGATTTAGGATTACAGCTAAAGATGTATATACTAGGATATGTCGCTACAACTACTAGGAGACCCTCAGATGCATAATTATAATTAGGAGTAACAACCATTCTGTGCAGCTTTTATGATAAATAACATCTCTATTTCCTATGTGGATATTTTTTAGGATGATATAATACATTTTTTGTCTTGCACTGGCCAGATAATTCATCCCATTCTATCTTCTTTCTCCAAAAATAGTGAATCAGATTCTGGAATTATGCTAAGTACAGACTTAGCTTCCATAACTTGATAGAATAGACAATATTAGAACTCTTGTTATTATTCAAATTTGTAATGCTGTTGTAGTATAGTAGAGTTGAAAGGGGGACATTGGAGTTCCTCAGTCCGATTTCCTGCTCAATGAAGAAAAAATTTAACCCCTGACAGAATCAAACAGAAGTTAGCATAATTAATTAAATGATACTGAGTTCAATCTAGGTAAGCTCTTAGACCACCTACAAGATCTCAATGAAAAAAACTCAATATGGGAAGTATCTAGAGCTGCCATTTTGATTCTCTGTTTAACTGCCTACCTCACACAGAGTATCCTTAAAACGATTCAAGTCTATGCGGGAAGAGATGATGGAAAAAGGGGTCAATGAGCCATTCCTACACAAGTATTATGATCCAGCCAGCAAATACATCAACCAGTTTGCCGTTGCTGATGAGCCTCTTGCTAACTACATGGATGTGAGTATCTGGTTAGTTAAAGGAAAACTATCACAATTATGGTCAAGATGAAAACTAGACAGGAAGAGTTTACATTATTTGAGAAAATCATAGGCCTGGTTTCAATTGCAATTGTGGTATAATTTGGAAATCTGGGTAACTAACATCAAATACAGTTACATGTACCCAATTAACAATGAAGCAGGTATGAAAACCTAATTAAATTATAAGTGTACTGATGTGGCTATATAGTACCTACTTTTTTTAAAAAAAAAAACCCCTATTATGAATCAGTTGGAATTATAAAGCCATGCCCCTAAAATTTTTATATTTATATTTTTGCCTATAGACATTTCTAAAATATATTGAAGAATATGTGTACAGAATGTTCTGTTGGATGTGTTATATCCTTACATTATCAACATTCAAGTGTGGAAGCCCTGAATAATGATCATATTTTCCTTTTTCTAGATGTCCTATTATGGAGAGATCAGTATTGGAACTCCACCCCAGAACTTCATGGTTCTCTTTGACACTGGGTCATCCAATCTCTGGGTGCCATCCATCTATTGCCAGAGTCAGACTTGCAGTGAGTATTCTTGCTCATTCATTTAAGAATAAAAAATACACAATTTGTG